TACCCCAGTGTACCCCACCCCTCCCCCACCTCCATACTCTCAGTGTTCCCCCACCACACTCCTAGTGTACTCCAGCCCTCCCCACTGACCGCGCACCCGGAGTGGTGCCCTCTCCCGACCCTCCCCCGTGTGTGCTCTTGTCCTGTGCTCCGTGCCCCTCGAGTGAGGAGAGTAGGGCTGCATCCACTGAGGTCTCCTCACCGTCCTTGGCCTCGGCCTGGTAGCATTAAGGTGAGGTTACAGGGTCTGGAGGAGGGAGGCAGGCGGGAGAGCTGGGGCGTTCTTCATTCTCTGCCTGTCCCCACGTTCCCGCCTTTGTGTATCGGCAGCAGGGTCCCGCGAGGGACCCTCAGAGCTAGAGGGGGGCACAGACCCCCAGAGCTAGAGCCAGGGTAGGAGGCCAGGGCGTGGGGAGAGGGGGTGCCCCTGGGGGAGCCTGGGGCAGGGCGGGGTGCTGCAGCTGATCCAGCTTGGGATGACCATTTGGGGAAAGTGGCAGCAGGAGCTGGGAGACCCAGGTCACTCAAGGAGGTCGACCGTTCGGTCTCACTGGCCTGAGGCCCACCCAGCGCTGTCTGGCCAGTGGCTGGAAGGCGAGCCTAGCGGAGCCTGACACTGCCTCCATCTGCCTGAGGGACACAGGCGGCCTTGGGGACCTCCCCCAGAGCCCCAGAGGCACCGACACGCAGCCTGTGAGGCTGAGATGGACAGCAGGAAGCATTTGGCTAAGGCCACCCTGGGGAAGAAGCCAGAATTGCAGCTGTCTCAGGAGTGCAGGCAGCCCTCTCCCCTACCCAGCCTGGTGGTGGCCTGGGGCCAGGCCAGTGCCCAGAGCAGTGGTCAGCAGATGCTGCAGACTCAGGACTGGGTAAGGTGAAGACTCCTCTCTGGGAACCCCAGGAACTGGCTTTGGAGGTGGGCTGGCCATGGTGTGCGTGGAGAAGGGGCCCCGCCAGCCTCGGGGAGGGCTGAGTGGCGCCTGACGAGAAGCAGCTGCTGGGTGGGGGACACATCGGATGTCAGCTCTCTTCCCTGAGCCCTGGGTGGCACCCCTCCTGCTTCCCATAACTGTGGGCCATCCACCTCTGCTGGGCACCTTGGAGGGGCCACGTGAGGCCAGGAAGAGAGGCCCACCTCAGTCCTCCCCAGCACCCCATCACCCGTGGGCTAAGATGCCGGCACCAAGTGGAGGGAGCCCAGTGGGGGAGCTCTGCCCCACAGCAGGGACGGTGGCCTACTGACCAGGTAGGCAGGCAGTCAGCAGGACTTGTCACTGAAAGTCGTGACTAAGATGTTCTTAGATGCTCTGCTGTGACAACCCGAAACTGGAGGCACTCGTCTGTGGCCACCGCCTACCAGATAGAGGAGCAGCTCCTGGGTTCCCACACAACCGTGAGAGTGGACAGGAAAGAGTGGCTCCAGCCCCAGGGGACGCTTCATGAACAAAGGAAGCCAGACCCACAGGAGTTCTGTATGGTTCCCTGTGTGTGTAGGTCAAAGCCAGGCCAGATGGGTTAAGGCTGTGACAGGCTGGCCACACACGGTGCTGGGCACGCAACCAGTTCTGTGTGTGGGAGCCCGTCGAGCCATGTGCTTAGATGTGTCTGCATGTGTGTTTGCTATGGTCAATAGTTTACATAAAAAGGTGATGGGAAAAAGAAAGCGGGCTCCCCGAGCTGCCTGCTGTGGCCACCGTGTGCCTCCCTGCTGTGTCCTATGGCCGGAATGCCTGCCAGCGGCTGGAGGAGACCAAACTCGCGGACCCCTCGGCTTCTGTGAGGCTGATATCTCAGGACATATCAACAGTCCAGGCCATAAACACACAAGCGTGTCACCTGTTAGGGTGCAGGCTCCTCGGGAGGAGGGATGGGACCGGGGCTTCCATCCTAGACAGGTGGTAGGGATGGGGAAGCGGCAGTGTCAGATCCACATTCTCTTGCAGGGATGGGGGGGCCTGGCGGCTCTTGGACAGTGGCGACCTGCTGTGTTTGCAGTTCTGAGAGGTGGGCTCGCGGCTGTGGTTTACTGGAGGGTGGGGGACGAGGCAGGACAGCAGGAAAGAAGGGCACCAGGGGAGGTGGCACAGAGGACAGGGATTTGGGCGGAGGCTAGGAAGGGATACAGACCCGTCTCCGCAGGCTTCTGGTTTGGGGACATGGATCCCTGCTGTGTCCCCCACAACCTGGCCACCCTCCCACGTCATCCCATCTCTTCCCTCCACTGCTCCTAGCCCCTGAGGAATGTCAGCTGCTTGCTGCGGCCTTGAGGGGTGCACCGGGCTACCCTCTCTTTGACCATCCTGCGTGGTGCTCTTCCTCTTTGGCATGCCCTCAGCGTGGAATGCTATTACTCCGGATCTTCCCATGGCTGGTCCCTTGTCAGGCATCATGTCCAGGGAGCCTGGCTGACATAAGTCAGCCCCACCGTTCCCTTTGTCTCTGTCCTTTCCCAGCCCGAGTGCACAAGAGCTGCCCTCGTCTGCAGTCCCCTGAATGGCGAGGACACACGCTCACCGAAGTGCAGTGATCTCTGGCTGAGATTGAGGTCCAAAGAGACCTTCTCCGATGGAGGGTCTGCAGACATAACAGCCTTGCACAGAGGGTTGGGCAAGTGTGTGCACCTCTGTTTCCTAACAATCCCACCAAAATGACCACAGAGGGTTTTGAAGAAGGCAGGAACCCAAGGGAGGGCTGGCCAGCAGGAGGTGGCGACCACATTCCAGTGGGCGGCCACAGGTTGGACAGAGCGGGAGGGTCAGCTCTCAGCCACCCTGCATGGTGGGAGGTGGCAGAAGCAGAGTGCTGCCCTAGCCGCCAGCCCCAATCTGCCCACAGCGCTGATGCACTCTAGTCCTCCTTTCAAGTATGAAATAACAGCCGAGGGCAGCAGACATTGAAAGAAAAGCTGTGTTGTGAAGGAGAGCAAAACACCTAGAAAAAAAAGGAATTGGAAGAACCACAGCAGTGTGGGCAGAGTAGAGCAGAGCTGGAGTGTCACTATTCCTGTGGTGACCTGTGCCGTCTTGGGAGAATCGGCCCATGCCGCCCAACGAGAGGGAGGGGAACGTGAACACGGGGAGGAGGTGCTGCCGGCGCCAGGTGAGACGTGTGACTTGAGTGCAGGGGAGTAGGCTGGAATCCATCCACAGCAGAGGGTCTGGGAAGAGCGTCCAGACAACCGCACGGAAATCAGTAGCCTTTAGATATCAACAGCAGACTCTAGAAAATAAACAAATGAAAAGGCACATCTGACAACAGGAATAAACTTAACAAGAAATACGCAAACCGGGCCGGCCCTGTGGCTTGGTGGTTAAGTGCGCGCGCTGCGATGCTGGTGGCCCGGGTTCGGATCCCGGGTGCTGGCATCGAGGCACCGCTTCTCCGTTCATCCTGAGGCCGAGTCCCACATACAGCAACTAGAAGGATGTGCAGCTACGACATACAACTATCCACTGGGGCTTTGGGGGGAAAAAATAAAATAAATAAAATCTGAAATACGCAAACCTGTCTATTTGAGAGAAACTTTAAAACCCCCCAAAGCATTACCAAGAGACTGAACAACGAAAGAGACACTGTGTTCTTGGAAAAAGACTCACCAGCACAGAGGGTTCTCCCCAGGCAGTTCACAGTCAGTGTCATCAACGATGAAAACGCCAAAAGCTCGTCTTCTCTTTTTCAGTACAGCAAAGTGGTCAAATGGAAAAAAATCAAGAATAAATTCAGCCCTAGCAGATAGGAATTCCTGTTGCAAAGCTTCAGTTATCAAAGCAATAGGGTCCTGGTGTATGATGCATGAATAGCAGAACCGAATAGAAAATCTGGAAATTGACCCAAATGCCTACAGACACTTAGTATAGGATGAAGATGGCATCTCAGATCAGTGGGGGAAAGATGGGCTTTTCAATAAATTATGCTGGGCAACTGTGTAGTCATCTATAAGAAAGGAAGTTGTAGCCATTGCCTCTCATCAAATACCAGGAGAAACTCGAAATTCATCCAAGGTTTCAGTGTGGAAAAATAGAACCATAACAGGGCTAGAAGGAACCTTGGGCAGATTTCTTTATGACCACAGAGTAGGGGAGACCTTTCTAACCCAAGCCTCAAGTTTAGAAGCCATAAAAGAAAAGATGGATGCATTTAACCACATGTGAAAAACAAACAGAAACTTCTAGGGAGGCAAAATAGACACACTGAGCAAAGTCAAAGATGACTGACGAGGGCACTGAGGCTCTTCAATGGGGAAAGGACAGTCCTGCCGACAAATGTTGCTGAGAATGCTGGCGATCCACATGCGAAAGAATGAAGTTGGACTTTTGCCTCATACCTGTACGAAACTTAACTGAAAGTGGATCAAAGACATAAATGTAAGAGCTAAAACTACAAAGCTCCTAGAAGAAAACACAGGGGAAGAGCTTTGTGACATTGGACGTGGCAATGATTTCTTGGATATGACACCAATGGCACAGGCAACAAAAGCAAAAATAGGCAAATGGGATGACATCAACCTTAAAACCTTCTGTGCCGCAAAGGACACAATCACCAGAGTGAAAGGCACCCAACAAAATAGGAGAAAATATTTGCAAATCATATATCTGATAAGGGATTAATATCCAGAATATATAGAGAACTCCTAAAACTCAACAGCAACAAAAAACTCAATTCACAAAGGGGCGGGGCCGGCCAGTGGCACAGCGGTTAAGTGTGTGCACTCTGCTTCAGCGGCCCGGGGTTCGCAGGTTCGGATCCCAGGCGAGCACCGACGCACTGCTCGTGCAGCCGTGCTGTGGCGGCGTCCCATATAAAGTAGAGGAAGATGGGCACAGATGTTAGCCCAGGGCCAGTCTTCCTCAGCAAAAAAGAGGAGAATTGGCATCAGATGTTAGCTCAGGGCTGGTCTTCCTCACCAAAAAAAAAAAAAAGGGCAAAGGACTTGAATAGACATTTTTCCAAAGAAGATATACAAATGGTTAACAAGTATATGGAAAGATGCTCAATGTCATTAGTTATAGGGAAATGCGACTCAAAACCACAGTAAGATACCACCTCACGCCCATTAGGATGGCTATAATTATATAAAGAACAAATATTGGCAAGGATGTGGAGAAATGGGAACCCGTGTATACTGCTGGTGGGAATGTAAAATGGTGTAGTTGTATGGAGGTTCCTCAAAAAAATCAAGCATAGAATTACCATATGATCCAGCTTCCTATAGAAAGCTGTATGGAGATTCCTCAAAAAAATCAAGCATAGAATTACCATATGATCCAGCAGTTCTACTTCTCGGTATATATCTGAAAGAACTGACAGCAGGGACACAAACAGACAATTTACATCTGTGTTTACAGTAGCATTATTCACAATATCCAAAAGATGGAAGCAACCCAAGTATCCATTAACAGATGAATGTGATATATACATCCAATGCAATATTATTCAGCCTTAAAAAGAAATGACATTCTGACATATGTTACAACATGGGTGCACCTTGAGGACATTGTGCTGAGTGAAATAATCCAGACACAAATGGACAAAAACTGTTTGATCCACTCATCGGGGACCTAGAAGAGTCAAATTCATAGAGACAGAAAGCAGAATGGAGGGTGCCAGGGGTTGGGGGAGGGGGATGGGGAGTCAGTGCTTATTGGGGACAGAGTTTCAGATTGGGAAGATGAAAGAGTTCTGGAGATGGATGGTGGTGATGGTTGCACAACAATGTGAATGTACTTAATGCCACTGAACTGCATACTTAAAAATGATTAAAATGGTAAATTTTACGTTACGTGTGTTTTATCACAATAAAAAAAACGTAAAAAGGGAAGAAGAAAAAGAAGGAACAAGATGTCATTTGATGACGTACAGCTGCCTGTGA